AAAGATAGATGGGCCTGGAAAGTAGAACTGATGTCAACTGAAGTCTTATTTGGCTACCTGCCCAGGACTGTGTCTTAACTCACCAATCCAAGACCAGCCCCTTGTTCCATACAATGCCAGTCATTTAAAACACACTGTATCTTCTACCCAGCAGGCTTGTTCACTGGCCCTGAGTGTTCCACTGTCCTGGTACTCAGAGAGGCTGTATTCCAAATTCCTCCTTTGATAGGTGTAAAAGATTCCCCTTATCTCCTGTGTAAGGTACTTGGTTCAGACCTCCCAACCCGCCTGGCACAGTTGAAGAGACATGAAGTCTGTTTTGTGAGGCTAATGCTCCCTCCCAAAATTCTAGAGGAAAATTCCATCAGTGCCTTTCAGACACCAATCTTTCTCTTGGTTTTATCCAATCTCTTTAATAAACAGAACTCAATCTGTAATATCCCAACAGTAAATTCTATTGCCAACAACTCCATTCTCTGACTTACGTTTTGCCGCAGCGTGCAGATCTATCCTCAGGCTTAGAGAGATGTACAGAAGCCGCTTCTCTTACGATTTATTTATCTAACACTTATATATCACTTACCATATACCAGGCAGTATTTTAAGTTATTCCTATTTGTCATTCCCATTTGTCAGATGAGGAGACTGAGACACAGAGAGGTTAGGTTAATTTGCCCAATGATGCACAGCTGATAGTTGGCAGAACTGAGTGGACTCCAGAGTTCCTGCTCTTAACTCTGAGCTATGCTATCTCCAGTGGAACCTCAGAGTGGCCCCTGGTGGATATGTGTTAACATCATGAGAAGAGCATAAGGCTCAAGTCCAGCCAGGGAACTGAGGCTTCAGAAGTGTGGCTGATGGGGAGGTGGAGAGGGGCTGTAAAAAGAAACTTACATCATAGGGGAGGCATGCTCTGGCATGTGAAACTCCCTTTCACTCGCGTTAGTGAGCTTGGCCTCTGTTTGTACCAAACCATTTGTCATTGCCTGCTGAAAGTGCTTGCTGATTGCCTCCTTTCTGAAACTCTTGAGTCTGGATTTTAAAGTAAATTTTATTTACAAAGAAATTCTTCCCAGTATTGCCTCAATGAGCCCCCCAAATGAGCTCGTCTGTCTAGTCCCACCCCTGTCTTTCAGAGACGTTCCTCTTAATAAAAATGCCAGAGACTTTTCCCAGCACACATCTGCAACGCCACAAAGGCCTTATCTCATCTGATACTCTTGGAGAAGCCCCATGGAATTAACATTGTCATCAGCTGGTAATGCTGACTGAGAGTCCCGGGGTCAAGATTCTCTACAAAGTGCTGCTTGGAGCAAGCAGTGCCCTAATGAGTTTGCCCCTCTATAAGGGCCTTTGCCCATTGTGATCTGATAATTATGTACCTTTTTTTTTTTTTTTTTTTTTTTAAAGAAAAAGCTTTCTCATATACAGTGCACTATTTCATGGGCTCCTCCAAATAGTTCCACGAGGTGCAAGGCTGTGAAGAGAGTATAGTCTTCATTTAGTAGAGAGGAAACTGAGGCACAGAGAGGTTATGTGACTTGCCCAGAGTCACACACTAGGGAATGGCAGAGCCAGGGCTCAAGCTCAGCTGTTCTGCCTTTGGCAAGTCGCTGCATCTCCCTGGGTCTTGCCTTTCTTCCTACAGAGTAATGGGGTTGGAATAGGTGCTCTACAAGAATCCTTCCAATTCAAACATTTTGTAATTCTAAAATTCTGAAAAATACTTTTTTCCTGAAAGATCAAGTAATAACCCTCCTGAATTCCACATTTCCACTCACTGGGATGTGGGCAGGAGTGGAGAGACTGAAGCATCTTACTTGCATCAATCCTGGTATTTGCCTTCATCATCTCCCAGTGATCAAGGAATGTGTCTTTCCTGTCTTCCTTCTTATCATATCACAGCAACAATGGTTTTTGGAATGCCTTCCTCCCCTATACTTTTTGTTGTTAGCTGCTCTTGCGTCAACTCTGACTCATGGCAATTCCATGTATAACAGCACAAAATGTTACCCAGTCCTGTGTTATCCTCATGATCATTGGTATGTTTAAGTCCGTTGTTGTGGCCATTGTGTCAATCCATCTCACTGAGGGTTTCCCTTACCTTCCCTGGCCCTCTACTTTGCCAAATATGAGGTCCTTCTCCACCAATTGGTTCCTCCTGATAATGGCGTTCAAAGTAAATGAGTAGAAGTCTTGGACAATATCTATGGTCCACAGGTTTTCACTGGCTAATTTTTGGATCGCCAGGACTTTCTTCCTAGTCTGTCTTAGTTGGGAAGCTTTGCTGAAACCTGTTTACCATGGGTGACCCTGCTGTATTTGAAATACCAGTGGCATAGCTTCCAGCATCATAGCAACATACAAGCCACCACAGTACGACAAACTGACAGATAGGTGGTGGCCTATACTCCTTAGGGACATCATATAACTAAGATGGTGAAATATTATAGAAAACAACAATGTATTTGCCTTAAAGCCCATGGATATACAACTTTCCAATGAACTTTTATGACGGTAGTGATAGCTGACATTAGTAGAGCATGTGCTATGAGTCTGGCACTGCATCAAATGCTTGATGTGTATTACCTTATTTACTCCTCATAACTGCCTTACTCAAAAAACCCATTGTCGTAAGCTCCGTTCCGACTCATAGCGACCCTATATAGGACACAGTAGAACTGCCCCACAGGGTTTCCAAGGCTGTAATCTTTACGGGAGCAGGCTGCCATATCTTTCTCCCAGCATGAGCACCTTAAGAGGTAGGTATTATCGTTATTGCTGTGTTGCAGAAGAAACAGCCTCAGAGAAGTAAAAGAGCTTGCTCAGGATCACACAGCTATTAGGTGATGGAATCTGGATTTAAACCCAGGCAATTTGTCAGGAGTTCTTAACTGCTACATTAGACAACACTGCTTCTCCTAGGAGAAAGGGGGGGGGGGTTGGTATGATGCACATTTTATTTCCTTTTACAATTTATTATGTAATACTTAAGATAGAAAAAAAGGTACATTATGCACAGATAGAGCCAACCACTGTACTAGCACCAGTGATGGAGCAACAAATTCCTCCGGGTGGAAAGGGTCAGGAGAAAATTAAGGCAATGTTGGAAAAATCACTAAGAGTTTACTAACCAGTGACATTTATGTGTTCAACACTATGCTGGGCAAGACAAGTATAATAAGATCTTACCACACAGTAAACATAAAGAGAGAAGAATCTCTTAGTTTGGCTACCAAGAAATGAATCTGTTTACACAAACAGCACAAAAACTAACCTTGTTATTGTAATTATAGTTTATAAGCACCAGAAGCAAAAAGCACTAGAGTGATGGGCTCTGGGTAGTGGAAAGGAGCCGATCCTGGGAGCCAGTCATCCTTTTATTCAGTGAAGCATTTGCTGAGGTCCAATAAGATGGGGGAACAACCGAGAATCAGGTAGACAGATGCTGCCCTCCAAGAACTTATATTCTGATGAGATCTCTCCTCTGAGTCATTGCCAAGTTCTAGCTACGTGACCTGCCTCTACTCTGTAAAATAAATGTGGTTAGACTAGCTAATCGGCTACTTAAATTCCGTACTCAAAGCGAATCCCTGGCAGCTATGCCCAACAAGCAACGCTCCCAGACGCTGCGCTGCGCGAAACCTGACGGAAGGGGCGCTGCTCAGTCCCGGAACGCGTTTGCGTTCCGAAAGCGCTTGTCCCTCGCCGCGCCCCGTCTGCCCCGCTGCTGCGGCCGCCCGTGGAGCGGGAGGAGGTGGAGCAGGCGCTGTCCCAGTTCCCGAGCCGTGGAACAGCCGAGGAGGCGGTGCGGCGGGACCTGGTGGCCGAGGCTCGGGCGGGGTGGCGGGGGAGGCTGGCAGGCGGCGCCGGCAGCGCGGGAGAGCGGCATCGTGGGGTGGGCGCTCCCGGCGAGAGGAGTCCGCTCCATGCGTGCGGGCCGAGCCCGGCCCCTGCGAACCGCAGACATGAAGAAAGACGTGCGGATCCTGTTGGTGGGAGAACGTGAGTTCGTGCACCGGGCCCTCCGCGGCCCCCGCTGCCGCCGCAGCCCCTGCCTCTGTCCTGCTCGCTCGTAGCGCTCTTCCCTCGCCGCCCCATTGTCCTCCCTCCGCGTTTGCGGGCCTCCCAGACTCTTCGCTCTTCCCATTTGGCTGCCCGCAGGCGGCCCTGATCCCCTTATCTTACCTGGGCCCTCCTAAGACTCCCTTCCCTTGTCCCCCAGTCGTCCTCCCAAGACCCGTCCTCACCTGCCTCTAACCGCCGGCCTCATCCCTCGGAAGGTCCTATCCTCCTTTTCCTTTTCGAGTCCTTTTCTCCTGGGCCCCACCGTTTTCGAGGCCGCCTCTTTCCTCTTCAGACCCTCTCGTCTTCCGTGGAGACTCCCTTGTCACTGCCAGACAGGTGCTGGAACCGGCAGACTGACCAATTAGGATGGCGTGAACCGGCTCTCGGGGAAGCTAGGGGGAGGCGTGCAGAACTATCTGACTTGTGGGCAAGGTCAGGTTTCTGGATTTTTTTTTTTTTTGCCCTCGCTGTCTTCGCTCCCTCTTTTTAGACACTGACAGTTAGGGGTGGAGCGTTTTTAACCATACTTGTACTTTGCGGTGGAGTCACTCCTAGTACACTGGATGTTTTCCCAAAAATGTACTTTCAACTTCAAGTTATACCAGTTGTACAAGCGGTCAGTGAATGAATAATTATTTGGGGAGGGGGGTCCTTAGTTGAGGAAATTATGGTTACCCTGAAGCCTAATTTGCCCCCCTCTTTTTAAGCAGTGTACGTTCCGTAGCTACTGATGTATAAGTACCAACAGAGAGACACGAGGCCAAACAGACACACATACCCGAGACCCACTAGAGTTTGTTAGAGTTCACCTTTTGAAGATACAGTAAAGGAGAAATGCCTTCTCTTCACCGACATGGGACAGAACAGCAGGGACCGTGCAAGTTACATGACTCAGACTGTAGGACTAAAAGAAGAAAGTGGGCTGGGGAGAGCTCGATGTTGATTGTTTTAAAATACATTAGTTAATGCTCTGCCATTGCTCTTTTGAAGCATTCTATTCTAAACCACTTTCCATTCATGAGTAGCCCCTCCAGGTCACTGTGATGAACACCTGAGGAAGAAAGCTAGCACATTTTTTACCCTCTTCTGTAGTGTTCTTTTATATTCTTTGTTCACCTGCTGTTTCTTCCTTTAGAATCAGAATTTAGAAGTAGGCTTAGCCAAACAGTTTACTTTTTGGTTTGCAGTTGTGAATTTTAGTCTTTGTAACCATATCTTAGTGTGTATTTCTTTAGCAAAGTTCTGGAAGGTGTTATTTAACATATTATTCATGCTCAGTGCATCTGGAGCAAGGTAGGGAATGTGAGTAGATGACCCGTTTAAGAAAGTGGTCCTTAATGGTATCATAAAATAGTTTTAAAGCTTAAAATTTTTTATACTAATTTTGTAAAAACAAAAATCCCATGTTTTGGGTTTAGTTTTGAATATAGGAAGCAATTACATATAATTGTTAATCTGTAAAACGTCTAATTAGAAATGGTATACATATGTGAGATACATTGTCAGCCTTAGGAGATTTGAGTTAATATATTAACAGTATTATTTACTTAGGAATACGTAACAAGAGTTCAAAGCTTGTTAGAAGAATTAAAAAGCAGTGTTATGCAAAATGAAAGCAAATAAGAAAATTGGTAAAAGTGGATATGCAAGAGTTTTCTGATTATAGAAACATTAGGGAGAAACTTGACATAAGAGAGAGCCTTACTTTTTAAGGGAGTCAGTTTTCTTAAAAGGGTAATACCAAAAGCTTTAGGCCAACTATCATACATGCAATGTTTTTCTGACATTTAAAATATTAGAAATTGAGTTAATACTTAATTGAAATACATAAATCTAGTTATTTAAAGGCTGGTATTTTGAGGAGGAATATTTGAAGCATTACTTTTTGAGATTTAATGTAAATATTTGACAGTTGTTAGGCTGGTGGCAGCAGTTTAAATACTAAGCAAACATTAGTGTGGTCAAGGTCTAATATATGGACATCACTGATAGTAGGAAAAAAGCAGTAGCAATTTGGGTTATTACTCGCTCATTTGAGTGAGTCTAGTTTCCAGTTATAGTTTTAAGATGGTTAACCAACAGGAGTGGGAAAAGCCCAGAAAAAGGAGCATCATTTCTGGTATCATCATAGTAAAACCTATTTATTCTTAACATTACATACATTTTATTGTTGTCATTACCTGTCCCTGAGCCACACAGCAGCTGAAATAGTTGTGGATAGTTGCAACATTGTTGGCTACACCCGTACTTTACTCTTGAGGTGAATAGGATCTTTTCTTGACCCACTTCTAATCCATCAGGCTTTAATGCTGACTAATTGCTTAATGCCTTGTTAGTGCTTAGATCAGAGAAGTTAGGCTGTCTATAAATTTTAAGATATTTATCTTCAGAGAAAGACAAAGCTTTTAAAAGATCATCAACATCTTGTTATCTTAATTATCATACATATCAAATACTATTCAGGCCAAATTGAAAATCAGTTACTATTCTTTAAACAAAACAAAATTTTAAAAATCTTTTAAAATGTTCTCATGCAAAACGTAGCTCTTCAGATCATAATTTTTTATTGTCAAATTAGTAGGCCCAAATTTGTATTTAAGTAGATTTGCATTACTATGCTTAACAGGTATCCTTATTATGGTAAAATTAGCAAGGGCCTTAATACCCTTTTATCTAACTCATGCAACTACATTAAAAGTAAACAGGATAAGTTTAGTTTTAATGAAATCTTCCTTGTTTTTAATTGAGCTGTGTTTGTCTTCTGCTGGTCAGATTCATTAAGAAAGTAGGACTGTTATCCTCTTTTCAAATTAATCTTGTAGCTCTTATCTGATTAGTTTATTATCGAAATCTCTGCCAAACTAGTTCAGGCTTCCACTGGCTCTGTCCTGTATCTCCTTAGGGGGTCTCCCTGATTCTTCTTTTGTCCATTCTCCATGTAGCGGGTGTAGTCATCTTTAAAAAATATCTCAGATCCTATATTACTCCCTTTTAAAATTCACCAGTCATTCCTGCTTTCACTTAGAATAAAGCTCAGACTTTTTGTGCAGAACTACGAGGCCCTCGACAGCTAGCTCTCTATCCTGCTCTGTCCTTCACTGCTGTCTACAAGAATGCCCTCCCAGTCATTATCCCCATTACCCTGCGTATTTGTCCATTGTTGGTCGCTTTGGTTAGAAAGGAAGCTGCATGAGGGACGGAATTTGTCTTGTTCATTGCCACGTCTCCAGTGCCTAGAACAGGCCTGGCACAAAGTGGGCGCTCAAAGAAGGAGTTGTTGGAAGAATGGATGATCTCAAATTAGTTCAGGTTGTTAGACTTTCCTAGTTTTCCCAACCATTCCTCTCAGTCATAAAAATGTGATCATTCTCCTTTTTAAATCCAGTCTGATGTGGTTATTGTAAGGATTTGAAGGGGCAGCATTCATCCTGTCTCTTGTTCCATGTCCTTCGCTTTGTTTTGTTGGGAGATTCCTGTTTTTTGGTGGTAGAGTAGACCAGTGACTTAGGGTAACACTGCCACGTGCATTTCACCACTTGGCTGTCAGGAATTATGTTGTGTGCCGTCGAGTTGATTCTGACCCATAGCGACCCTATAGGGCAGAGTAGGGCTACCCCAGAAATTACAGTCCTTACCAAAAGAGGTCAGCTTCACCTTGAAACACCAGAAGCTGTTTTAGAGGATTGAAAGGGCTGGGGAAAGATACTTCAGGTATAAGCTAGGTGTAAGCATCGAAGAGATTTCAGATATAAGCTAGCATTTATTTTATAAAAAAAAAACTGTGGTCATTTTGAAGTCATATTGCTCTCTATTCTGGTCTTTATTAGAATTCTACTTAAAGATTAAACTTGTCTAGTTTCAATTATACTGTGTTTAGTACCTGGGTGATATTCTATGGCCAAGGATGTTTGAATAGAGAGTCTGTTCTACATCGTCCTCACAAATGTATTGAAACCTGTTCTATAGTGTCTTTTTTGCTCCTCTGCCACCAGTTGGGCACCAGTGTTGATCTGGTTTGAAGGAGAGGGATGGGCTGTAGCTGTGTGACAGCATTTCTCCTTCTGCATATGGTCAGTGAAATTTTCCTCTGGAACAGTGTTGGTTATTTCCCCAAATGCTAAAGTTTTCCAGTTAAAAATATAACTCCCTATTTGTACTCCCCCCACCCCCCGTATGTTCTTACTACGGTAATGTAGGAAGCGGCAACAAAGCTTCTTAACAAAGAAGCAGATAAAAATGAGGAGTAGGGCCCTCTGCCACTTGAAGCAAGGGGTGTTTGTTATCAAGAAAAATAGCCAGTATGACTGGTAGGGTGGTAATTGGAACCAGAAAACGTTATTTCTGCTTCATGAATATTAGGAATTTTGCAGTCGTTTAGAACTAGATGCTCAAAAGATGTGATGAGAAGACAAAGAAATTTGTAGCCTGGGTAAATCTAAATAATTTGTTCTCTAGTGATGAATTATATTTCCCATGGATGACCTACTTAGAAGCATGGAGTCTCAGACAAAACTGTGGCATGTTGTGTTGAACTGAATCATAAGGCCTTCTGTCTTTGGGGGTAATTGTGGCCTTGCTTTTTGTTTTTATAGATCATTTCAGTATTTCTCAGGCAAGATAGAGGAAGTAAAGACCATCAAATGGCTGGTTAACAAAGGATACTTTTTTGTCCTCCGTATTAAACATAAAATTTAATTAGTAAAATGATTTGAGAAGAGCTTGGGATTTTGTGCCCTTATGGAAACAATTTTTATTTTCTGGAGCATTTAAAAAAATATTTAGTGTTTATAGTCATATCTGCCATTGTTAAAGTACTTTTTTGGTGTTAGGTTTATTTAAATAGTTTTTAAAATTTAATATTCTAAAATGTTTTTTCTTATCTCTAAGGCATTTTAATTTATTTCTCAATTTTAATTAGCTTAAATGTGGCCTATTTT